CTTTTGAACAGAGGAAAGGTCATAGGGAACAATACCGCTCGCCAGGTAGTTTGCAATATCTGCATACCATGGTGTTACCTCAAGACTCGTGGCTAATAGTTGCTCATCCGGGAAAGTCTCCACAATCTCTTCCACCTCATCCTTCTTCTCGGCTCCTTCCAGCCTTGACAAGTGATCAGCCACTTGGTTTTTCGTTCCCTTTCGGTCACAGATTTCCAAGTCAAATTCTTGCAGCAGTTGCACCCATCGAATCAGAAGCAGTTTTGACTCCTTATCAATTAGGTACCTGATAGCAGCATGGTCAGTATAAACAATTCGAGCCTATCAGGTATGACCTGAATTTGTCAAATGTGAACAACACTGCTAGCATCTCCTACTCGGTCACTGTGTAATTTAGTTGGGCACCACTCAAAGTTCTACTTGCATAGTAAATTGGATGCATGGCTTTATCTTTGCACTGCCCAAGAACTGCTCCCACAACATAGTCGCTTGCGTCACACATCATCTCAAATGGTTGCTCCTAGTTAGGTGCAACTATGATAGGTGCTGTCACCAGCCTTTTCTTAATTCCTCAAAAGCTACCCTGCAGTCATCAGAAAACACAAAATGGTGATCTTTTTCAAGCAATTTACACAACGGGTCAGCAAGTTTAGAGTTTTTTTTTACAAATCTCCTATAAAAACCGGCGTGTCCCATGAAACTTCTTATTGCCTTGACGGAAGTGGGTGGTGGAAGCTTTTCTATCACATCAACCTTTGCACGGTCGACCTCAATGCCCTTACTCGACACTAGGTGACCCAAGACTATACCTTCCTGTACCATGAAATGGCATTTTCCCGGTTGAGTACCAGATTAGTCTCGATACACCTCTTCAATACTCTTCTCAAGTTCATAAGGCAATCATCGAATGAATTCCCCACCACTGAGAAGTCATCCATGAAGACCTCCATTATTTCCTCTACCATATCTGTAAAGATAGCCATCATGCACATTTGGAATGTGGCAGGTCCGTTGCATAGGCCAAACGGCATTCTCCGAAAGGCAGAGATGCCATAAGGGCAGGTGAACTACGTTTTCTCTCTATCCTCTGGGGCTATAGAGATTTGATTATACCCCGAGTATCGATCCAGAAAGCAGAAGTGGGACCTCCCTGCCAATCTATCTAGCATTTGATCAATGAATGACAGTGCGAAATGGTCTTTCCGGGTAGCTTTGTTCAACTTTCTGTAATCCATACAGATTCGCCAACCAGTGACGGTTCGTGTTGAGATCAACTCGTTATTCTCATTTTGCACTACAGTTATACCGCCTTTCTTTGACACACACTGAACTGGGCTAACCCAGTTACTGTCAGAGATGGGGAAGATGATTCTTGTATCTAACCACTTGATCACTTCTTTCTTCCCCACTTCTTTCATGTTGGGGTTCAACCTTCTTTGATGTTCTCTGGAAGGTTTGTGCCCCTCTTCCAGTAAAATGTTATGCATACAAAATGCCGGGCTGATACCCTTAATATCTGCAATGGTCCAACCAATTGCAGTCTTGCGCTCTATCAATACCTGCAAAAGTTGTTCTGCCTGCACATCTAACAAACAAGATGACATAATAACAGGTAAAGTTGAGTTAGGTCCTAAGAAAGCATACCTGAGATGAGGTGGTAGTGGCTTCAATTTCAACTTTGGTGGCTCTTCTATCGATGGCTTAGCTAAGGGAGTTTTCCTTTCTTCTAAGTGCAAAGGCTCAAATTCGAGCTCCCTTTTCCAAAACCCTTGGCCTTCGAGAGCCAGTACCTACTCCGCCAAGTCCTCTCCATTTGCTTCATCTAAGTTCATGAGACAGGCTGCTAGAGAGTCTTTAGCATTCAAGGTCTCATCTTCCTCCTCCAAAATCACATCCACTACATCTATTAGAGAGCAGTTAGCAAATTCACTTGGTCGAACGCATAGATTTCTGCACATTGAATGTTATCTCTTCATCTTTTGGTCTCATTTTTAGCTCTCTAGTTTCACAATCAATTAAAGCTCTCCCAGCGGCCAAGAATGGTCTTCCCAAAATTATGGGTGTCTCCTCGTCAACTCGGCAGTCCAGAATAACAAAATCTGCTGGAAACACAAACTTCGCCATCAAGGATACCTGACGGCCTCTTCACTGTCCGGTCGGCTAGCTGTAGTAACATGGATGTGGGTCTTGCTCTTCCAATGTCTAGCCTTTTGTAGATAGCCAAGGGCATCAAGTTTATGCTTGCCCCCAAATCACACAATGCTTTCGCAAAAGCATAGTTGCCTATCGTGCATGGGATTGTGAAACTCCCTGGGTCTGATAACTTCTTAGCTATGGGCCTCATCACGACTGCACTACAGGTCTGTGTCAATGTAACAGTGGACAGGTCTTGTAAGTCGAATTTGCAAGACATTAGATCTTTCATCATTTTGGCATACCCAGGCATCTCTGGCAAAGCGTCAATCAGTGGAATGTTCACTTGGATTTGTTTCAACATCTCCATGAATTTCTTATACTGCTCGTCTTTCTGATATTTGGCCAATCTCTGTGGGAATGGTGCTAGCGGTCGCTTTTTCCTATGATTTGAGTTTTATCTTGCTCAGGCACTGCTTCTACTGTCGTTTCTTGTGCTACCTTAGTCTCCTTCGCAACCTCTTTTTCTTTGCTTGGGCTTTCTTGTGCATGTTGTACCGTCACCTCAGTTAACCCTGTTGAAACATCTATCTTAATGGGCCCTGGCACAAGTGTTTCAGTAGGTCGGCTTTTATGAGCAATTTCTTGCTCTAGATCTAGGTCTCTACCATTTCGTAGACTCACCGCCATAAGCTGTTTCGGGCCCTGCTCTTTTGGATTGATTTGTGTGTCTGCAGGTAACGTCCCTTGGGGACGATTATTTAAAGCCATCGAAATCTGTCCTAATTGAATCTCGATACCCTTTATCGCTGATTCATGTGATTCTACTCTCTTGCATTTTTCCAGTGGACCCAATCAGTTGTAGCAGCATTCTGTTGTTGTTATTCAGCATTCCCTGAAGTTCAGCAAACCCATCATCTTGCCTTACAATCTGTTGTTGTTGAGGTTGTTGATAATCAGCTGCTGATTTTGCTGGTTGTAACCCTGTTGCCTTTGGTAAGGCACCACTTGACCCTGTGGTCGCATAGCTCTAGGATTGTTGCTGTTATTGTACTGCTGATGTGCTGGTCTATATTGTTGATTCTATTGTCTCCAATTCTGATTGTTCGGGTCATTCACATTGTTTTTGTTGTTTAGATTTCCTACTTCATCTCCCATGTCTGGTTCGATTTGTTCTGTTGAGTTCTATTGTTGTTTGCGCTTCTTGTTTGCATGATTCAGTGCCTTGAAAACTTTCTCAGGATCTGATAATGCTTCGAACAATTCACCAGTTCTTGAGGAGTTTCTAGGCATGCACCTGTAACACCCAAGACTACAAACGTTAGAATTTCAATGTATTTAGTTTAAATTGAAGAAAATTGACTATACTAAGAATTCTAGCACTTCTTTTAGCTGCAATTAATAACACCGTTAATTTTCCGGCAACGACGCCAAAATTTGATCACGCCCAACTATGCCTTGTAGAAAGGCCTTAGCGGTCGTTGCAAATATATTCCGGTTAATAAGTGCGGAGTCGAATCCCACAGGGGATTAACCTATTAAGCATAGCTACTAGACTCGCACAAATTCACGCATTCAATCTTCTGAAATATTTAAGTAACAAATTGGATGTTTACTAACTAAATATTACGTAATGAAAATGCAATAAATAATAACTAACTACGAACGGGTTGTAGATAAGAATTGGAATGATCTAAGGTTATGATTTCCCCTATTGTCGGAATCCTTTCCGCTACGTTTTCTATAAATCTGCCCAAGTCTTCTCTACCGATCATGAGCGCTCTGACTGTCGTAATTCTCTCCCGAGTAATTATCACAATATACTAGATAATTCTCTCGAATTACGCTAGTTGGCCTTAAGTACAGCTCACTCAGATTGCACCAAGGTTTCGTTATCCCTAATCCCACTTTTAAACCCTTCGTATTGATCCCTTATATACGTTAGGAGTGATGTTGTTCAACAACTACCTAAATGTGCACTCTCTCCCAAGTAATACATACTAAATAGGCACAGTCAATTGAGGGCCCTTCAATCAACAATAATAATAATATAGTTGAACAAATAGAGAAAATACTATGGCAAATCTATATTAATATAACAAGAAAATCATCCTCCAATAGGTTCCATCAAAATCCTAGATTAGGAATTTAGCTACTCATACTCATAGTAACAATATCCAAAGTATTTTGCATAATTAAAATACAAAGTAAAGATGAAAGGATGTAGAAATCGATGATTCTAACTCCCAACGGGTATTCCACGAGCTATTCTTGCCTCCGGTTGCCAAAGTCCTCAAAAGTGGTGTTTTTAGGTTTATTTAATGTGTAGGAAAAGACCGAAACGTGTAGGCCAAGTCCTAGTCAAACCTGGAGACGAAATAAGTCAAGTTGCGGTAAATATTCCATCTGAGTCGGTATTTTAGAGGACCAAATATTTTGAGATCAATGGTCACTTAATTTATGAATGCAGCCATCAATTGGTTAAACTAATGCACCCCGAGGTCCAAGAATATATGTACGGCAAGCTTGGAGCCAATGATCATGTCAACTTGTGGGAGAGTGTTACAATGTGTACAAACATTGTACTTGAGTAGTAGAATATTGTGCCGTATATTCATAGTTTATTGTGTAGTATATTTCTTAGGATTCTCAGTGGTGAGAAAGCTCACATTATTTCTCCAATTAAAAAAAAGACTGGAGCACTTTGTTGTAATAAAAATAGTAGGGTTTCTCGCTTTTCCTCTTGTTTCACAAATATAAAATATAGAATTAGGTCAAACTGCTCAGTGATGCAGTTGCTTTTCCAAAACCAGGGGATATCATTAGGTTCTAACATTAACTGCTGCATGTGATTTGTGATAATTTAGGAGGGAGATGATGCTGATAAGGATCCAGCAGTAAACAAGGGCCACAAATTAGCAACTGTAGCCAAATTTCTGAATGGTGCTTTGCCTAGCCAGGTACTACTGGTCTGCTTTTGAGGTTCCTTGGGCTAATCATGATACGTATAATGGTAGTCTTGCAGTCTACAAAATACTAAACTTCAAGCAAATTTAAAGCATCTCCAAATCGCTTATATGGATTCTTTTGCGTCTATTCTGTACTGTTCTTAACTAAGTCTGCACTCCAATTGGTTGTAGAGTTTTTGAGATAACTTGTCTCCATGTGATTTTAGTCTCCCTTGTCAACTTTGCACTGTCAGTTATTGTACTTTTGCATATTGTATAGTGTTTTACGACCTCACATTTATCTTACCATCCACATAAACATTATCTTGTGGACATGTTTGCACACAGAGGTCCAAACATTAACTCCCCTATAATGATACTCGGTCTTGAATCCTTCTCTTTTACAAGTGACCACTTCTCGATTAGTATGTAATCTAAATCGATGTACCAACTAAAGGCATATCCTTTCAACACGACCTGATATTTTTTTTTTTGCTGTTAACGTGCGTAACCAGTTTCTTTAAGCTCCTTGTGACAACAATTAGAATGCCGTAAGACACATCCAAAGGTATATCAAGGGCTCTTCAGTTTAAGGTCTGCTATACGAGGATAGAAGAAATACACATGTTATTTAAACTTGACATATCTAAAATATTACTTATCAAAAATGAAAAGAAAAAGATATTGCTTGTGTAGATTTTGAGAAGAAGAAAAGGCTTCTTGTATTTCTGTGAGTGTTTACATCCCATGAGCAAGGGAATTTATACAAAGCTCCTAATGCTAATTAAGGAAATAAAATAAATCTATACAATCAATACAGCTATCAAATCAAATCAAATTAGAATAAAATCAGATCTCATAAATATAATCAAATCTCCTGAAATCATGCTAATCAACACTCCTAAATCAGGTCTCCTTGAATCATGCTAATCAATACTCCCCCTCAAGTTGGTGCAAAGATGTCGCACATGCCCAACTAGCAACTCAAAGTATGGAAAGTCTGCTTGTCGAGACCTTTGGTAAACACATCAGCTAGCTGTTTTTTCAATGGCACATGAAACAAACTCAAGACACCAGTTGTAACTTTTTCTTTGATGAAGTGTCGATCAATTTCCGCATGCTTTGTTCGGTCATGCTGGACTGGATTATGAGCTATACTGATGGCAGCTTTATTGTCACAGTACAAGGAAAGTTTTCCTTTTTCATATAGTCTCAATTCCTGTAGTAGCTTTTGTAGCCAAAGCAGTTCGCAAACACCCTAGGCCATAGCTCTATATTCTGCCTTCGCACTTAATCTAGCAACTACACTTTGCTTCTTGCTTCTCCAAGTAACCAAGTTTCCTCCTACGAGCGTACAGTAGCCGGATGTTGGTCTTCTGTCATTTAGAGATCCAGCCCAATCTGCATCTGTAAAGGCTTCTATTTGGAGGTGATCATGTTTGGAGAAAAGTAGACCTTTCCCTGGAGCAGACTTCAAATAACGCAAAATGTGAAAGACAGCACCAGCCTCTGATATCTCTCCTTATCGACTGATTCTCCAACTCCGCTTTGTAACTTGTGATTGCTTTCAATGGGCGATTCTGCGGGTCTGCAACCTGTCATACCGGTTTCTTTCAAAAAATCCAGAATATACTTCCTTTGAGAAATAAAGATTCCTCTTTTGGATCTAGCAACCTCAATTCCCAAGAAGTACTGCAATTTTGCTAGATCTTTGATCTCAAATTCATGTTCCAACAACTTCTTCAATCGAGACATCTCCTCTTTGTCATCTCCTGTCATTACTATGTCATCAACATAAACTATGAGAAGAGTGAGTTTACCCGTTTGATGTCTTATGAAGAGGGTGTGATCAGCATTGCTTTGTTGGTAACCAAAGGAGATCATTGCTTTGCTGAATCTGTCAAACCAAGCTCTGGGGGATTGCTTCAGTCCGTATAAGGCTTTCTTCAATCTGCATACCTTTCCTTGACTCTGTGCAGTATCAAATCCAGGAGGAATCTCCATATACGCCTTTTCTTCTAAGTCTCCATGAAGAAATGCATTCTTTACATCAAACTGTTGTAAGTCCCAATCAAGATTAGCTGCACAAGATAAAAGAATTCTAATAGTGTTCATCTTAGCAACAGGGGCAAATGTCTCTTGATAATCCACTCCATAAGTCTGAGTAAATCCCTTAGCCACCAATTTTGCTTTGAATCTTTCAATTGAGCCATCGGCTTTGTGCTTTCACAGTATAGACCCATTATACAAAGCTTTATACAAAGCTCCTAATGCTAATTAAGGAAATAAAATAAATCTATACTGTTAGTTTCATTGTATAAATAGTAGTAAATAACCTTAATCCCATATGTATTAGGAGTAGGACATGTATTGTATGTATAGGGCTCATTGTAGCATTGTCAATTAATTAATCAATAAGAATATTTTCTCCCGTGCTTTTTCACATGGTATCAGAGCATTAGTGAGAAACCTATCGCTGTGTATCATTCCAGCGACTTCCGGGAAGAAAGACCTCGTCGCCGTGCAATTTTCCGGCGACTTAGAAGGTGGCCCGTAATCAAGTCACTTTCTATCGGTGTTGTGCAAAAACCAACACCACCACGAGGTAGATCACTCCTTGGCGACCAACCCATTAAATTTTCTCCGGCAGAAAAGCTGCCACGCGCCTCCACGCCCCGGCAACAGAATTTTTCCGGCGAGCGCGTGACACCCACGCGCCGGCGAGTACGCCCACTTCCGGCCATTTTTTGACGACGGTTCTTCAGAACAGTTGGGTCGCCTACTAATTCCGACCCTACTAATCCTGTTTTCGTTTGATTCCGACCACTTTGAGTTTTTTCCGGCAGCTACAGTGATTTTTCCGGCGTGAACAGTGATCCCCAGAAAAATTCTGCTTTTCACGATATTATAATGGCATTCGTATCGGAAGCCTTTATCTCACAATCCGTTGGATCCAATGCATTGAATCCCATCCAGATGGTTTCTTTACCGGATTATATTGAATTCCTTCAGTACAAAGCACGTAAACAGACATCTTCAGGATTAGCCTCCGTTGTTCCAACAAATAGTAGCATGACTTGTGTCTCCCAATCTTCACCTTCTGAGTCTTGGGTCATTGATTCAGGTGCATCTAATCATATTTCTGGTAACAAATCTCTTTTCACTAGTATTTCATATTCTCAATCTCTTCCAACAGTCACACTGGCCAATGGGTCTCAAGCCATGGCAACTGCAATAGGTCAAGCAAGTCCATTTCCTTCATTACCTTTAGACTCTGTTCTTTATGTTCCTGGTAGTCCTTTTAATCTCATAGCCGTTAGTCGCCTAGCCAAATCCCTTAAATCTGCTGTTTTATTTCTTGATGACCTTGTTTTTATACAGGAACGCATTACAGGGCGAATCATCGGTACCGGACGTGAATCCGATGGACTTTATTACCTTATCCTTGCAAAATCACATGGACTCGCATCTTGTCTTCCTCCAATAACTTCTCCCGTTACTGATTCACCAGATTTATTACATAAACGGTTAGGACATCCCAGTTTGTCAAAACTTCAGAAAATGGTACCTGACTTATCTCACTTGTCCACTCTAGAGTGTGAGTCATGTCAGCTCGGTAAGCATACTCGCTCCCATTTCCCGCGGCGTCTCGATAATCGAGCAGAGTCACCTTTTACTTTAGTCCTTTCAGATGTTTGGGGTCCTAGTCGGGTCAGTTTTACCTTGGGATTCCGCTACTTTGTCAGTTTCATTTATGATTATTCCAGGTGCACTTAGATATTTTTGCTGAAAAATCGATCTGAGTTGTTTTCTATTTTCCAGACCTTCCACGCTGAAATTCAAAATCAATTTGGGGTTTCTATCCGTACATTTCGTAGTGATAATGCCCTAGAGTATTTGTCTTCCCCATTTCAGCAGTTTATGAACTCCCATGGGATTATTCATCAAACATCTTGTCCGTACACATCCCAACAAAATGGGGTAGCTGAAAGAAAGAATAGACATCTTATTGAAACTGCTCGTACCATACTCATACAATCTCATGTTCCGCTGCGTTTTTAGGGGGATGCAGTTCTTACATCTTGTTATCTTATGAATCGTATGCCATCTTCAGCTATCCAAAATCAAGTTCCATTCTCTGTCCTGTTTCCCTACTTACCTTTGTTCTCTTTTTCACCCCGTGTTTTTGGGAGTACGTGCTTTGTTCATGACGTTACTCCAGGAAAAGATAAGTTAGCTCCTCGTGCTCTTAAGGGCATATTTCTGGGTTACTCAAGAACGCAAAAGGGATATCGATGTTATTCTCCTGACCTTCAGCGATTTCTTATGTCTGCTGATGTTACCTTCTTTGAAACCCAATCATACTTCACAGGTCCAGTTAATCACTTAGATATTTCTGAGGTGCTACCCGTTCCTTCTTTTGGAGATTCAGTCCCTATCTCCCATTCGTCTTCCTCCGTAGCTCCACCGCCTACAGTTCCAGTTGCAGCTCCACCACCTATAGCTCCAGTGTCACCACCGAATCCAGTGCCACCACCTAGTCCAGTTCCACCAACCATAGCTCCAGTGCCACCACCTAGTCCAGCTCAACCTTCTACAGCTCCACCACTCCTGACTTATCATCGTCGTCCACCCCCAGCATCAGGCCCAGCTGATTCACGTCCTGCACCTGACCCTGCTAATACTGCGGACTTGTCTCCTCTTATTCAACCGATTGCACTACGAAAAGGTATACGGTCCACACTTAATCCTAATCCTCATTATATCGGTTTAAGTTACCATCGTCTCTTATCATCCCATTGTGCATTTGTGTCATCTTTGTCCTCTGTTTCCATCCCTAAGTCTACAGGTGAAGCACTGTCTCATCCCGGATGGCGACAGCCTATGATTGACGAGATGTCTGCTTTACATACGAGTGGTACTTGGGAGCTTGTTCCTCTTCCTTCGGGTAAATCGACTGTTGGTTGTCGTTGGGTGTATGCAGTCAAAGTTGGTCCAGATGGCCAGGTTGATCGACTTAAGGCTCGTCTTGTTGCCAAAGGATATACTCAGATATTTGGACTCGATTACAGTGATACTTTCTCTCCGTGGCTAAAATTGCATCAGTCCGCCTTTTTCTATCCATGGCTGCTGTTCGCCATTGGCCTCTCTATCAGTTGGATATTAAGAATGCTTTTCTTCACGGTGACCTTGAGGATGAGGTTTGTATGGAGCAACCACCTGGTTTTGTTGCTCAGGGGGAGTCTAGTGGCCTTGTATGTCGGTTGCGTCGGTCCCTCTATGGTCTAAAGCAGTCTCCTCGAGCCTGGTTTGGTAAGTTCAGCATAGTTATTAAGGAGTTTGGCATGATTCGTAGTGAAGTTGATCACTCTGTATTTTATCGACATTCTGCTTCAAATCTCTGTATTTATCTGGTCGTTTATGTTGACGATGTTGTTATTACCGGCAATGATCAGGATGGTATTAGTAAGTTGAAGCAACATCTCTTTCAGCACTTTCAGACTAAGGATCTGGGCAAATTAAAGTATTTTCTGGGTATTGAGGTCGCTCAGTCTAGCTCATGTATTGTGATCTCACAACGGAAGTATGCCTTAGATATTCTTGAGGAGACAGAAATGACAGGTTGTAGACCTGTTGACACTCCGATGGATCCGAATTCTAAACTTCTGCCAGGACAGGGGGAGCCACTTAGCGATCCTGCAAGATATAGGTGGTTGGTTGGTAAATTAAATTACCTCATAGTGACTAGACCTGACATTTCCTTTCGTGTGAGTGTTGTGAGTCAGTTTATGGATTCTCCCTGTGATAGTCATTGGGATGCAGTTGTCCGCATTCTTCGGTACATAAAATCAGATCCGGGCAAAGGCTTATTGTTTGAAGATCGAGGCCATGAGCAGATCGTTGGATACTCAGATGCTGATTGGGCAGGATCACCTTCTGATAGACGTTCTACGTCTGGATATTGTGTCTTAGTAGGAGGAAATTTGGTGTCTTGGAAGAGCAAGAAACAGAATGTGGTTGCTCGGTCTAGTGCAGAAGCAGAATATCGAGCAATGGCTATGGCCACATGTGAGCTAATTTGGATCAAACAGTTGCTCAAGGAGTTGAAATTTGGTGAGATTAGTCAGATGGGACTTGTGTGTGATAATCAAGCTGCTCTTCATATTGCGTCAAATCCAGTGTTCCATGAGAGAACTAAACACATCGAGATTGACTGTCACTTTGTTAGAGAAAAGATACTCTCGGGAGATATTGCTACAAAATTTGTGAAGTCGAATGATCAGCTTGCTGATATTTTCACCAAGTCCCTCACTGGTCCTCGTATTAGTTATATATGTAACAAGCTCGGTACATATGATTTATATGCACCAGCTTGAGGGGGAGTGTTAGTTTCATTGTATAAATAGTAGTAAATAACCCTAATCCATATGTATTAGGGGTAGGACATGTATTGTATATATAGGGCTCATTTTAGCATTGTCAATTAATTAATCAATAAGAATATTTTCTCCCGTGCTTTCTCACATATACAATCAATACAGCTATCAGAATAAAATCAGATCTCCTAAATATAATCAAATCTCCTGAAATCATGATAATCAACATTCCTAAATCAAGTCTCCTTGAATCATGCTAATGAACAGCTTGTAAGATTACTTGCTTTATTGTGTTACTAGTATTTCAATAAAATTCTTGCTGATTTAGTGCATTTCACTGTTTAAGGTGGGTCGAACTCAATCTGACAATGATAGAGTGGCATCAGTAGGTAAGCTCCTTGAAACTTATTAACCTGTATGGCCTCTTGATCTTCTTCCCATACCTGATCTCCCCTTGTTTTCATTTATTCCTCTACCTTTGATGCTGATAATGCAAGATGAATAGAGGGGAGCAAAACATTGAAAAGAAGCTGGTTAGAGTTTTCTTTTGGTTCGGGGGTTGGGGCGCGGGGATGGGGGCTTGAAGCAACAACGTGGAGAAGTAAGTTAATCTGGATATCTTAATCAATTGTTATTCATGTTGAAGCACAGCTTAAGGTTACATTAATAGAATATATTAACTGGCTTAGCACTAGCTGAAACGGTCTCTCTGTGTAATACTCTTGGCTCGCAAAGAACTCAATCTCTGAATTGGATCATTGGAATTATCATTTTTATTTGTGATCGTTTGCAATTCTCCTGGTTGAATGAATCATTATCAATTTTCTGAAAGTATTTCGAGAGTCTATTATGTTCTTTATATTAGAGTAAATTAGTACCGAAGGTTTTCAACTGTTGGTACAGTTGCTATGTTGTAGCTCTTTGGCGATCGTGCTTGCATATATACTCAATATAATTAAGAAAGCCAATCATACAACAGGCATGGTTTCATTCCATCCCCTTTCCATTCAAGAGTATCGTCTATCTTTGATATTGTTCACTTCTATATATTGGTCCAAGTTGTGTTGTTTCAAGTTTGGGGTTTCATTATATTGTCTGCTTTATTGATTGCTATTCCCACTGAAAATGGTGTTCTTCATGAAGATCATTCATAATTATTTTCTATCTTTCGGAAACTGTACTGAGATTCACAATCAATATGGTGTTAGTAAAGGTATTATTCAGTGACAATACCACCACTCCCTTTGCCAGTCTTATGTCCTCTCAAGCAATCGCTCATAGACTTCTTATGCATTTACTCCTCAACAAAATGGAGTCTCTCCGAACGTAAAAATGGACATTGACACTACGCATACTTTACTTATACACCATCATATTCCTATTCTTTTTGGGCAGGATGCCATTCTTACAGCTTGTTATCTAATTAATAGAATGCTCTTTGCTGTATTGGATCCTCAAAGTCCATATTCCATTCTGTTTCCTGTTCAAAATCCACATCATCTACCACTGAGCTGTTTGGATGTACTTACTTTGCTGATGATCACAGTCTTAGAAAAGACAAACTTCAGCTTGAGATTCGAGTAAGTGTGTCTTCCTAGAATACTCTTGTCTTCAGAAAGGTTTCAAATGCTATGATCAAACGATAAAGAGATTATATTAGTAGACATAACCTTAGTTAATATGTCTCCCTGCTTTTCACCAATCAGTGCGAACAAAAATTTAATCCTCAGGGTTTACCAGTTCCTTTGCTTCCTATACCTCAGGTCAATCTTTTTCTTCTTTGAGTCTAACTTCCGGTGTACTCATCCTCCTGTTAACACCAATGATAACTCTTCTCATGACACAGATACACACACAATTTGAGTTATCATCTCCCTATCATATTATACATTTGTGTATACCTTATCTATTGTTCCTATACCAAAAACTATTAGCAAAGCATTGGAATGTCAAAGGTGGAGAGATGTAATGATAGAGACTGCTTTTTACATTAATAACACTTGGAATTGGTTTAGTTACTGAATGGTTAAGTTTATGTTGGGTGTCGCTGCATAAAGCAAGTCCTGCTAGCAAAATTGATTGGAAGAAGGCTGGCCTTGTTGCGAACAGGTGCACTTAGATTTATGGTATTACAGTCACACATTCTCTTTAGTTGCCAAAATTGCGTCTGTCTGACTACTTGTCTCCTTAGCAACTATCTTTTGTTGGACGCTTCATCAGCCGGATATTGAGAATACATGCACTGAGAGTTAGCCTACGAGGTATATGTGGAGCAACCACCAAGGTTTGTTGCTCAGAGAGAGTTGGGCTCGATATATCATCTAATACCATCACTTTAGGTCTACAACAATTACCAAGACATTCCATTTTCGAGTTAGCACAATTTAAGATACGCATTGTTATCTAGGGGTGTCAATGGTTCGGTTCGAACGGTTATTTTATAAAATTTGTATCATACCAATTTTTCGGTTATTCTATTATGTATAACCAAAATTAGACTTTTCGAAACCATCCCAATCATGTCGGTTTCACTTCAGTATCGGTACGGTTCGGTTAATTTTCGTTTTTTTTAAATATCATGTAAAATTCACCAGTAGAATATAATGCAATAACTTATGTTCTTTTACAGGACTTACCAAAATTTTCTAGGCATTTTTACTGTTTAAAGGGTGATGAATGAAAAAAAAACATGAAAGATGGCTAGAGTATAGATCCATCAGCTATTCGACAGCAACGTAAAAGAAACCAAGTAAAAGCAAAGAAAACATAAATCACACGAGTGGAAAGATATTAACCAAGCCGGGACTCAAGAATAAAGTTTATATTAAATATTCAAAAAGATAAATCTAAATTGTATGAAAGGAAACATATTCAATACATTGTAGTTTTCTACTCATGATCGCTAGAACACTTTGTGCCTTGCTAATAAAGATACTTGAAATAACTTAGTTTAAGTATAAGTAACATAATAGATTTTAGGACTAGTATTTTGAGTTTAATTACTTGTTTGCTTGTAACAGTTTTCATAATTCCAAGACCCAATGAAAAATTTAATGCTTTATTCATTTTAAACTTACTATATAAATATATTTTCCACATATAAAATTTATTCGGTACAGTTCGGTTTTTCTTCGGTTTGTTTTTATAAAATAAAAAACCTACCCTAATCATCGGTACGGTTATAGATTTATATAAAAACATACGGTTTCTTTAAAAGAAACCTAAAAGTCGGTTCGGTGCGGTACGGTTCGGTCGGTTTAGTCGGTTTTCAAATATCCATTGACACCCTAGTTATCTCACTAAAAAGTACACTTTGGATAGGGGGAGCCATGGGAAGATTGACCGGTATCAATGACTGGTTGGCAAAGTGAATTATCCCACCATCATACAATCAAGTAATTCATTTGTAGTAAGTGTGGCATATTAGTTCCTCAAATTTCATTGTAGTGGTCATTGAGCCGTAGTAGTCCACATCCTTTAGATACATGAGAAGAGCTCCAGGACAAATAGTGTTATACGAAGAGAAGCTTCGCTCAGACATTGTTGGATATTGATGCTGATTGGGCAGGTTCTTAGTGAGATAGACGTTCTACTTCTGGAATATTGTGTTATGATGGGTAGGAACCTGTTCTCTTGGAAAAAGCAAAAGCGAGATGTTATAGAACTAAAATATCGAGTTATGGCCTTTGCAACTTCTCCAAGAGTTAAGGCGTGTTAAAATCAAATAGATGAAAATGACATGTGACATTGAAGCTACCCTTCACAGTCCCTCAAATTCAATCTTTCATGAAATGACAAAGCATAAAGAGGTGGATTTTCATTTCTTAAGTAGAAGATTAAGTCTTGATGCGTTGATACTGATAAAGAAATGGACCTTGGGTTAACTCAACCAACCCTAGAAGCTAGTTCATGAGGTGAGGATTACCCAAGACGATATAAAGAGACCATCCCACCCCTAAAGCACTGTTGTGGGACTCAACAACCCTCTCCCCGCGCACACCTAAAATTGGACATCTGGAGCGTGGACAATATAAGATACGGGCCAAACATCGGACAGACAATAAATTGAGATGGGCCTGACTCTGATACCATGATAAACAAGTGGACCTTGGGCCTCACTCAAACACAAAAGCTAGCAAATGAGGTGATTAACCAAGACCATATAAAAAGACCATCCCATCCCTAAAGCACCGATGTGGGACTCAACAGGTAGCAACTTAGTCGGATCAAACGGCCGCAAATGCTCTTATCAAATCTCTCCGAGGACCTCCGTTTGGACACTTTTGCAACAAGCTTGAAGCCTATGACATGTACACTCCAACTTGAGGGGGAGTGTTGATTGTCGTAACTAATACATAAGATGTGCTAATGATTTAATATTGATTTTGTTAAATATGGCAAGAATATGTACTATGTAAATATAGAAATATTCCCATATCCCATTCCCCCTAATTAAGTAATTAGGAGATTTTGTAGGAATCTAATTATTCTCTTTTATTTCTTTCCTTATTTGTAATCCTTGTAAAGGTCATTTAACCCTGAATAGCTTGAGGGAATAATCAATCATCATATTCCCCATCTCTTCTTTCTCAGTTAATACTGTAATCAGCCAGAGTAGATTGTGATTCTCTAGAATCTATAACTTCCAAATTGTAAACCACACAAATAGTACATAAAATTCCAACCAAGGTTGAGGGAATAGTCTAGCTTTGGAGTTGAATTTTCTCTCATTCCTCTTATTTTGACCTTGCATCTAATCGAAGATAAAAGAGAAGTAGGATCTCTCCTGAGACACTCTGAGGATACACAACTATTTGTCCAGACAAAAAAATCAAATTTTCTCACATTCAATGTCATGGGATGAACCATGTCCAAGTGATGTTGTATTGTATTGGATAAAGTGCAAGATATGGTGTACCTTTAGAATTATTTATGCTATATAGGCAACTGCTGTTTGATGGTCCAAATGATTTGCTAGATTCTTTTTTTTTGGGGTAAATAAGACTTTTATTACCAAGTAGAGAAATGTACAGATCAGTTGCCAAAGAAGGGGGAAAAAAAGAAGCAAAACTGGCAATCTGGTTAGTTGGACACAAGTCCCAATTCCCAGCAAAACTACTCATCCTCTATCATCATATACTTCTACTGCTAAGGATAAAAACCTAAAGTATTTAATTTTTCTCCAAGTTTGCTCTTCCCTCAGCCTCTACAGAACATCTTGTACCAGGCTTCTAAGTATGACGTCCAGAGATCTCTGCTTGTGCTGGAAGATACGCAAGTTTCTCTCTTGCCAAATATAGTAGACACAACCAGTCAATGACAATTCTAAAGATATCAGCCGATGGGTTGTTACTTCTCATCTCCCTGCTGCCCAGTCTATTTCATCCTGCCATATCATCACAGCTCTATGTATGCCTTGCCATTGTAGTAATCTGTACCATAGCTCCTTTGGGAATTCACATTCAAAAAACAGATGATTAAGACATTCTTGTTCTTTGTAGCAGAGTATACAAGTTTGGTCCACAATGATTCCCCATTTTGTCAATCTATCCTTTGTGCTTAGTCTTCTCTGTATTGCCAGGTTCAAAATAAACAACCTTCTAGGAGTAGAACGGTTGTTACACATGAGCTTTTTCCAGGGAACTTTTACAAACTCATCTCTCATCTTCCGGTACTTCTTTTTGGTAGAGGTCTTCAGTTGAGACATTTCAGTCATTCTCATTCCAGTTTCCTGTAAGTACTTTTAAGCTTTAAGAATCTTAGTCAGAATCCAAGAAGCTTTTTGTGGCTCCACTTCCCATATTTGCCTCCCCTTCCCATAGTAAATGTGAACCCACCCCACCCATAACTTGTCTTTTTTTGTACATAGATTCCATAAAAGCTTGCAGACTGCAGCTTTATTCCATGTCTCAGTGTGTAATACATTGAAACCACCGGCTGTTCTAGGCCAACATACTCTGTCCCAGGCTAATGGGGCTTTCCTTGTCATCTCCACACCACCACCCCATAAGAAGTTCCTACGAGTTGAGAGTACAAAAATTTGAGACCAGTGGACTTGGATGGAGAATAAGACAGTTTTGAAAAGCTGCAACCTCCCCGAGTAAGAAAGAAACTTGGAGGTCCAGGATGTTATTTTCCCCAGCATCTTGTCCACGAGGGGTAAGTATTGTATCACGGGAACTCTTTTAGAGTTTAAAGGCACCCCAAGGTACCTGATAGGTAGTTCCCCGTTTGTAAACCCCAAAATATTCAAAATATCACCTTGTACCACATTGTCAACGCCCCAAAGAAAATAGCGCTCTTGTCAACATTAGCCACTAGTCCAGAACAATTGGAGAAGTTTGAGAAGCAATTAAAGAGCGGTTGAATAGATATCAAGTCTCCTCTACAAAACAACAAAGATCATCTGCAAAACCTAATTGAATTATTTGCAATTTGCTAGATTCTTTTACATATAAAATGAAAATAGAGACAAGTGGACGCTTTTTCACCACTTTCTTTGTAATAGTAACATGTGAAACTGCTACAAAATGCATTTTAGGTACCTCAACCACAAGGACGTGGGGGGTTTCCTCCCTATTTGGAAGCCGAGGATCATCAGTAGGGAATTCATCTAAGAGACATGCTGCTGAAGTGGTGCATGATATTGACCAGGCACCCCCTGTTATACAATTGAAAAATGTAAGTGCATACTAATCAAGTATATATCATAAAAGAGAGAAAGGACAGACATGGTGATGAAATATCGTATCTTAGTGATTCGCCATCTTACTTTCTCTTTTTAGCCGCCATCAATGTTGAGGCCTGGAGAATCTGAAACAGAGTACCAAGTGGAGATTGTAGTGACGAAAATACTCATAACATCATACTATGATATTGTGAGGAGGAATATACAGGATTTGGTTCCAAAAGCTATTATGCATTATCTGGTAACTTTTCCCCCTCTGTTTTAATGCTTTGGTCATATATTATTTTGCCAATATTAAGTATATCTGTACATGTTTTTTGTTGCGCTGTGCATAGCACTCTGCAAGCATTTGCCCTTTTGTTATCACTCACTGCTGATTTTCTCCAGGTCAATCATGCTAAGAGGCATCTTCTTGGCACGTTCATAGAGAAATTGTACCGGTATGCTCATTGGGACAAGTGTTTCTCTTTCACAAATCCCACAAAGATGGATTTGACATCCTTGTTAGACTTGTAACCTGTATGCTGCAGAATCCGAAAACATTGTCTTACCTGAATTAGGAGTACCTCCTCATAAGCAGACAACTCATTCTCAGCTTGTGCTTGTTTCTAATCCGATGGGTGGAGTTCCTATCACCTGAGTCGATTCTGCTTCTGGTTGTTGTCTTAGGTTTCCGGCTTATTGTTTTGTTTGATTAATCAGTTCGAACAATCTTCCTTTTTTGGCGTTTCTTGTTAAGATTTTTGCATTTTTAGATTCCAACTATCATGATATTTGTATTTTTTAGAAAGAATACTTGGTAGAATTGCAACATAATATGGAGAGCCGAACCAGTAATTTCATGAGCTGGAATTGCCAAACCTGGCTCGACCTTCACAAACGTTCTCTTGTTTGTATGTGGGGCTGTAGATCAACTCATTGTTATGACTTGTCCCTCTCCTTTTTTTTTTTTTTTGTTGTTGTGGTGTTTCTCTTAAGTGAATTATGGAGGGAAGTCTGTAAGCCATGGATCATGTAGAATTACCTTGTTTATGTGCTTACTTCGAGTTATGACCACTTCTGATCATTTCTCTGCCTCTCCTTGAGTCACCCACAGAGAGAACCTTTTTGAAGATTTGCTGCAAGAGCAGGACGAAGTTGTCACTAAGAGGAGGAGGACTTTAGAGATGTGTCATGCTCTGCAACAAGCTGTCGAGGTTAGTTATTTTGATAGTTACAAGACTAATCTTGCTACTGTTTTAACTAGAAATCAGGGATCTTTGGGACCATAGGAATTGCAACAGGCAACAGCGACTTGTTTACCTTGAGAAAGACGTACAAACAGTGTGTTAAGATTGTTTTTTATGTGGTTTGTGTATCTGTATGGTGCCAAGAAAATGCAGATTTTGGTGCAGGCCTACTGAGACCATGTTCCCAAGATCCTATTTCCATTCTGATTTCAGAATTCTACTCATGATATCAGTATTATATTAAATATGTTCTGCCTGAAACTTCCTCTTATGTCTTGTTTCCAAGTATATTTGCTAAAGTACAAATAGAATCGTAAATCTGAAATTTTCATTTGCTTGTTTTTTTGTTTAGACACTCGATGAGTTTGTAGCTGATATTTCTACACAAAGGTCAAGTGATAGTATGGATGCATCGCCAAAATCTTCTTACCTTTCGTCAGACTTTTACTCGAATTCAAGATCTTAACATCTAGGTAATCTGAATCTTGTATAATACTCCAAGAGTTAATGTGTCATTGCCTCCATCTGTAGCCACTGCTTGTTCATTCGAGGACTTCAGTACCAAGCGAGAGTCCACATTTTTGCTGACATGTCACCTAATGGAACTATTGAAGCATCTATTGGATAGATAAACTTGTAAAGCAGTATGTGTGTGAGTTACTTGTATAGTAGTATCTGTTTTGGAGATACTGTCCAGTTATACGTATATATGTAGCTTCCAAAGTTTACTGTTTCTTCCCTTGAGGTTATGCTTACTGGTCCACTGTTTACTGTTTCTTCCCTCTCATCAAGCTTGCCCCTCACCATAACTTTTAATAGGATGCTGTTTGTTGAAGTTATATCTGAGAGATGTTAATGTTCATCTTATGGGTTTAGACTCTTAGGTCATTGAATGATATGTAATCCATTTATCAGAAATTAAACGTCAGTATGTTTCGTGAAAAGAGAAGCACTCACAGATAATTTGAGACAGAGAGTAATAACTGCAGCTTGATTAATGGTCTAATTAATTACTCCAGACCTAAATTATCTGTCGTACTTTTTATTCTGTGATGTTCTATAATTTTGTTAACTTTTTCTAGATGAAAGCTCTTTAAACCTACTTTTTTTCTATTTGTCAAAAATAATATTTTGGGATCTATTTTTATTTTAAAAAGTTTTATTCTTTGAAAGGATAGGTTTATCTCTATATTTTAGATCAACTTTCATGTAAATATGAAACATCTTATCTTAACTGTCCAAACGAAAATGCAGTTCTGTGATAGCCGGAAAAGATTCTTTCCATATATATCCAACTTTATTCTCTTATGCATTTACTATTTTAATTTTGTTTGAAGAGAGAATTACTAATGTAATAATCAGACTATGATTGTCATATCAAAACCAAATCATCACATTGACGTAACAAAAATTCCAAAAATAACTGCGACAAAAGCCTCACCGGATTTCTAAATTGACAAAAATATTGGCGTTTGTTTTAAAAGTTTTTAGCAATTCGGTAATTTTTGGGTTTCTCAAAGATTTGAAAATCTGATTTTGAGACCCTTTTTTATATTATTATTATTTTTAACCCCTCCCTAGTTATTTTATTATGAAAAAATAACTGAAATACACTATTGAAAAGACTTCAAAATTGAGTTCGCAAATTCAACTTTTGACACTTCAAAACAAACGCTAACTTATATCTTTACAGCTATAATTGCAAAAGAAGAAAAGGTCAAGCTAAAATTGCTAGACAAACAAGCTACTAGAATTGAATATCTTGTTGGATGATGTGCATGATACTTATTAATCAAGTGATTAATTAACAGGCTGAGATTAAGAAACCCATCTTTCAATTGAAAGAAAATTTTATATCTGACACTCGATTAAAATTTTTGATGCGCTTTTTCTCTTCTATTCGAGTTTTAATTTGTAATACGATGAAAAATTAAAGTGCACACTGTAGTTTTGGGGTGTATGTGTTTTGTTTACATTTTCCCGTGCATTTTAAGAGAAAAAAATGCCAGAAGAATCCGTCCAAAAGATTTATAAAAGGTCTAATCCAATAGAGATTTCACAATAAGCATAAAAATGTAGTTAAAACTAATATTTAAATTACGAGCATGTATGTTCCTTTCAAGAAATTCTATTATTATTTTCTTCAATTATTAATACTCTTTTTAAATAAATTAAATGTTCTGGAAAAGGTGCATTCAAAGAAAATACTTGTTTGCCATCTTAAAACAATTAAAACCAAGGAAGAGGTGATTTCCTTCCATCCATCTAAATGGCGGAAAAAACTATCCAATACCACCACATGAACTGCCAACCACTGCATGCTGCCCATAATTAGCATCCCCCTTAATTATGCAATGCAGAGCCGTAATGGTGGGTCAAGAGCGGTTAGTTGGAAATAAAGAATGAAAATACTAACATACACTTCAGAGATATAATACTTAGGGTGTGTCTGGTACGAATGAAAATATTTTTCTGGAATTTTTGTTTTGGAAAAATAAGTGGTTGTCTTATTTATTTTCTGTTGTTTGGTTAGATAACATAAAATATTTTTTGAAAATATATAATTTAGACAAACATTATGGAGACGAATTTAAGAGCGGAGGAGGGTGGTAGTTCGGGGTCTAGGTGCTGGGGTTATAGTGGCGAGCTAGGGTAGGGATGAGGTGAGGCGGGAGGTGGGGGTGGTGTTGTAGCGAAGGTGGGGTTGGGGGTTGGGGTGGGCAACGGGGAGGTGGGTTGGGTAGGGATAGGGGGGTAGGGGTTAAGACTTTAAGGATGGGGAGAAGATTGAAAAGGAACTTTCGAAAATGTTTGGAAGCTATTTTTCTTGAATTGGAAGAAAATGAGTTCACGAAGAAAATATTTATCAAACGTTTAAGCCATCTAAATATGAAAAAATTCCTTGGTACCAAACACATCATTGGGCTCGTTTGGTACGAGGGATAAGAGATAATTAATCCCTGATTAAATTTAAGATAAGTTTATCCCACGATAAAATTGCGGTATAACAAATCTAGGGATTGGTTTGTAGACATCGAAATTTTAATGGATCAAGCTAAATCCTAAATTCAAGATACTACAAGACCTCTTGAAACTCTAGGAGTCTGTCAGTGTTGCTTGGAGGCTACTCTACCAAAACCCTAGGTCACTCCTATAAAAAGGGTTTCATAATCCTTTAAAAAATATCTCAAAAAAATGGAGATCATCTCGAAAATCCCATAAACTCACGGGATATTCACAAAGAAATCAAGAAGTGGCCGGATAATTCTTGATAATCAAATACTTCAAGAGATAATCAGGAGAGAAGAATCAAGGGGATAATTAGAATTGTACCCACGTCTTTTTATGAATAAAATTATGTTTCTTCATATTTATATTGTGGTTGCAATTTATTTTTATATCACATATGATTTGTTGCAAACATGGTTATCCCAGAATTTTAATAGTACTATTTTACCCCTTAATGTATAAAGTATTCCTACGGTTCTGAAAATAAGCTAAAAGAAGAATATTGATATGAGTTGACAGTCACCTTTAGGTGTCGGAAATCAATTTTTGATTTTTCAAAAACAAAAAACAAATTTTGTCTTTATAAAAAAAAGAGTACAAACTACCTGAAACAAAAATAATCGTCCCCACGAGTGCCAGCCCATATCTATCAAATCATAGTCCAACGAAATACAACCAAAAAACAGCGACGTTCTTCTAAAAAGAGCAAATAATTTGAATTACAATAATTACTAAAATAAAGAAAAAACATTCATAACCAAGCCAATGAATATACAAAAATAAAAAACAAAGATTTCATAGACAAATTATCGTTTTCTTATCTACATGTATTCTTCCAAAATCCAAATAATTGAACAAAATAGATGAATAGAAGTTGGTAAAAGCATTGATTCAGATTCCTCCCACTTTAGGATAATGACAGTTCATTTCAAAAAGATATTCTCTACAACTGGATTCCACAAGATGCTTTCTTTAATTTTCAAGAGATCAATATTTTTACCTAGTAGTTTCTTTCACAAAAATCATATCTAAGGTTTTGGAACTTTTATACATTTTCGTGGTTACCGAATATAAATAGTTTTAAATATTTTTGTGGTTACCAAATATATATAGTTTCAGCTACGGATAAAAAGCGAACTTTGCCCTTAAAATTAATTAATGCAGGCAAATTACTCCAAGTCCATGGCCTTTTTGGTAAGTCCATTATGGTATCCTTAATGTATATTGAAAAGTGAAATATATCTTAAACAATCCAAGTCGTAGTTGTTTGTAGGGAAGGACAGGCATAAATGGAGCGAGGCCAGGTAAGGCCTAAGCGAGACAGAGCCAGTTTACGTACACCTCTATTATATGTTTCTTTTTATAGTAGTAGTATCTCGATTATTTTATCAAGTACGTATTTAATATCTCTCACGGATACAAATATCGAATAATACTGCTCACTGAATGCATGTTAATATGCTTTATCCTAGAGCTCAATAGTTAGTTGTAGAAATGACACCAGGTAGCCACTCTAAAGAGCTGTTATTTAGGAATTAGTCATTGCGTCCTGAATTTCAATTTTTCAGTTCAATTTTTGGATCCACGAAATAATTTGATCTATGGACAACATCATTGTGGTAAAGGTCGTAATGCCAGAGGAATCATTACCGCAAGGCATAGAGGGGGAGGAAAAAAATGTCTTGAATTGTCTTGAAGATAGGATTTCTAATTTAAAATTTCAGGACAAAATAAGTACTAGCTAGTCTCTAAATAACATCCCTGAGAATAACTATATAAGCACTTGCCCTTCAATAGTTCCTTTGCCAATTTAATTGTGATAAACAATAACAATAACAATAATATATGCAGTGTATTCTCGGGCTCTGATCAAATGCGATAAAGTGGAGAAATAAAAATGTTGGTACAAGTCAATTTCATAAGAGACTAAAGATGGATTCTTTACATCACAAATGCCTTTTATGTTCATAATATCAGTATTTAAAATATGTTTAGGAAATTCCAGCTGAATACATGAATTTCAGTTTTAAAAAATTTAAAAATCTGTGATTAAAATCTATTAATTCACTTGAAATACTCCTTGAACTAGTTTTAATAATTTCCCAGTTCTTGAATTATTTAAGTATTTACAGAAACTAATAGTCAAAGCAATATTTATACAGATATTGAGCTTCATAATTTATAAATACTAGAATATTGGAGTATTATGTCTAAATCAGTGTTTTAAAAGGCGGGGGCGTGAGGCGGAGCGTTTACTTGATACGGGGCGAGGCAAAAGCCCCGAGACACAGGACGTAAGTCCCACGGATCTTTAATTTTTAAATTTATGAATTAATAATATCGCATTATAACACAAAAAAAAAATAAAAAAAAAAATACATTGAAAGTTCAAAAAACTAAAAACAATTAAAGAAACTCATATAAAATAAAATATTTAGCATGTTTTACAAGTATAAATAATATAATTTTTTTAAAGTTACTACGTGATATTTTCAAAAAATTAAACATTATAGTTTCTTAATAAATATTATCAAACTGCATATTTTACCTCTTTAAAAATAAATATTCAATAAATTTTATCAACACTATTATTTAAAATATTACTCCTTCATGAGTAAATTTAAAATTATTTTTAAATAATAAAAAAAGAAATGTATGACAATTTTGAGAGACATAGAACTAAGACATGAAAATCTATCAAGTAAAGATATAAATTTTGGTCATCTATTTTTAAAAGAAATATTCAAATGATATTCACCCTCACAATATTTTCAATTAGTAAATATGCAATACTATGGTTTGTTATTTGAGTTATTCACAATTTTTATATTCCTATAGATAAAAAGAACTTTAATCATTCATTTGTTAAAGAATTTAAAGAGTGAACAGTGTAAATTAATTAATTAAACACATGATTTGCATAAGAACTATTGGGCGAGTCCCGAGCGTTGAGCGTTAGGTGTGTTTAGGGCGCACAGTCCGGCGTTTAGGGGCATAAGCCTCACAGAACTAAGTCCTACACATAAATCTCAAGGCGTTTTGATAGTACCCCGCCCTGAAACGAACCTCGAAGCGAATCCCAAAAAAGCCTTTTAAAACACTGGTCTAAATGGCCACTTAAGATCCTTTCTTCGTTGTTAGCTATATTGGAAAATGAAAATTCGAAAGTGTGTAAATAATTCTTTTGGTGAGAAATTTTCATGAAGGAAACATAAAGAAGAAAAGAACAAAAAGAATCCAAATTCAAGAGTTTGGATATTTTCTCCTTCTTTGCTATTTGTCAGTTCACATGCCTTCTTTTACCGAGAATATGATACGACAAATAAGATCCTTCTATCCTTAATTAGATTTTTTAATTTTAAGCTTAAAAACAAAAAAAATTCATGGAGAGAAGTACTTCTCTGGTAATTTGATACAAATCTGAACTATAACCTATTTGGTCAAACTTCTAAAATTAACTTATTCTGAAAAATATTTCTTAAAAACATATTTTTAATGATAAGTAGTTTAGATTTGACTAATTAATTTAAAAAATACTTTTGAGCAGTAATTAGTATTTGACTAACAAAAACAATAACATACCTAGTATATTCCCACTAGGTGGGGTCTGGGGAGGATAACCTGTACGACCTTACCCCTACCTAATGAAGTTAGAGAGGCTGTTTCCAATAGACCCTCGGCTCAGAAAGAAGAAGGAGAAGAAGGAAAGCAAGAAAGGAAGAGAGAAGAAAAAGAGGGAGGTAAAGGATAAGTAGTACTTATCAAATAATAACAACAAAGAATACAATACCTGAGGCAAACAAAACTACATAATGCAATTTAATGTTTGACTAAGTTTTTAAAAAATGATTCTAAGTATATTTTCTTCAAAAGTACTTTTCAAATAATTATTTTTAAGAAAAATCTATTTTTTCTACTTTTAAAAATTTGATTCCGCTTCTACTCAAAAGTATTTTTTTTTCTTCTAAAAAGTTGACCAAACACAATAATAAAATATTTTTTAGCTAAAAGAAAGAACTTTTGGCCAAACAAGCTACTAGTCGACCAACAAATTTCGAAAATCTGATAATTAAAAAAAGTATTTGGCAGTTCACACTGTCACTATTAGCTGTCAAACCCAAAAGGGGCTCTTTCGTAATTTCAAAGAAACTCAAGGGCACGTGTGTTATCCCATTCTCACATATATAAAATCCCCCCACGCCCAGCATTTCAATATATTACACCCATAACCCCGGAGCTCCTCCATTTCTTCTCCCAACATTGACCTTTATTTCTATAATCCAATTTCTTTATACAAATTCTGATGATCATATAGAAGGAAGAAAAAGGAAGTTTTGTATAGAAAGATTTTTTTTTTTTCCATTTTATAGTCCGAAGAATTCAAGAAATATTTAGAGAAAATGTGCTCGACAAAGCAAAAGCTCAATAAAGATTGGATAGAAGAAGCACTCTCCGGCGGGTCATTAAAGCCGGTCGATTTGAATAACGGAACAAACGGGTGGGCGTCACCACCCGGAGATCTCTTCAAGCTCCGCGGCCCCAATTACTTCACTAGAAAGACAAAAATAACCTCAGGCGACTGGCTGTTACAGCCCGCGGGAGTCGATTGGCTGCGGTCGAGCTCGAAACTCGACCACGTCCTCGCGCGTAGCGACAATCGCGTGATGCAAGCGCTGAAGAAGGCTCACTCACAAGGCGCGTGCTTAAAAACCTTCATACTCGCCGTGAATCTTCAAATCCCCGGGAAGGACCATCACAGCGCGGTTTTCTACTTCGCCACGAAGGAAAACCGCCCGCTCGAACCCGGTTCGCTCCTCTACCGATTTGTTCACGGGGATGACTCGTACCGTAATGCCCGGTTTAAAATAGTGAACCGGATCGTTAAAGGACCGTGGATTGTGAAAACCGCGGTGGGTAATTACTCGGCGTGTATACTAGGCAAAGCTTTAAATTGCTATTATCACAAGGGAGATAATTACTTAGAAATCGACGTGGATATTAGTAGCTCGGCGATTGCGAATGCGATTTTGCATTTGGCTTTAGGGTACGTAACGTCGGTGACGATCGATATGGGGTTTTGTGTGGAGGCGACGACGGAGGAGGAGTTGCCGGAAAAGTTGTTCGGAGCGGTGAGGATTTGTCAAATGGAAATGAGTTCTGCTGCTTTTATTGAAACGACGTCGTCGTCGAGGAAGGTAATAGCAAATGGTCATTTTAACCATAGTAGTAGCAAAGTGCAGGCTGAGGAGGGCGAAAATGACGAAGAGAGATGATTCTTTTTAAATTTTTTGTTGTTGTTGTAATTGTTGGAAAAATTTAATGATGTGAAAATTTTAGTGGTCCCTGGTACAAAAATCTATGTTGACAATTAATAAAAAGAATTTTGCATCTCTAAAATTTTACAATATGCTTGTCTAATCATATGATATTCAAAATTTACTTTGTCTCGATTAATCTAGATTAGGTCCGTATACTTTTTCTACTATAATTTCTCATTCACGAGTTCAAATCTAAGACCTTCAATTAACAGCTTGTTTGGATGGTTGTTTCCGTTGTATCGTATTGTATTGTTATTCCAAAATAATATTTGTTTTAATTGTTTCATTAAAATTGGTTGTATTGTATTGTTAAATTCATTGTTCCAAGAACAATGAAAAGTCCTCTTTTTTGAAATAACCGATTTGGTGTGGTGGGATTGTTTCCTATTTTTCATTTCAATTATGCCCTAACTTATTAATCCACAATTCTATTCTACTATTTATCTTTTTTTCTATTTTAACTCCAAATCTCCAACCTATAACCTATTTTATTTTTTTCAGGAACTTCTGCCACCAACGTTAAAGATGTTTTGCCGCCTTCTGTTTTATTTTTTCTCCTAATTTGCTTTTTTGCTCAATCCTAATTAGTTGTGCTCCTTCGTTTTGTCTTCTTCTGTCTCGCTCCTTTGTTTTGCTTTCTTAAGGTGTTTTGCCTTTTTATGTTTATTTTTTTAAAATAATTTTTATACATAATTTTAAAAAATTTAATATTTAAACAATTGAGAGTATTTTAGTCAACTTATTAGTTACAGTACAGTATGATACAACAAAGTATTATTTAACAATAGCAAACAATATAATCTATCCAAACATTATATTTATAAAACGATACGATACAATACAATACATTATAAAACGATGAGAAACAATGATCCAAACAATGTGTAAGGGCGAAGAGCTTCATTATTTATTGTCACTCCAACTTATATATTGTTATCTTCGTCTCAGTGAGAAAAACCTGTTTAATATTACGAATTTAGTCAAGTTCTCGGAGTAATATTGGAGAATGGGTATGAATACATGTGTTCATGATTCTTGAATTAGTGAGAAATTAATATCGAAGTGACGGTTCTTTATGAAAGTTTATCATAGATATATGAAAGTAACTTTGGTACAAATTTTGTATTTGTTTTAAAAAATTTATTTAATATGTACAAATTTTTTTATTTATAATCCAATAACTTGAAAGTGTTAGAATTCATAACTCATATATTTCAAATCCTAGCTCCGCCTCTAATGTGGTTCAAGATATGAGAAAAACCTCGCTACGTAAAACTCATCAGCACAAGTGTTGGACTAATTATCATTTAAAGTAATTAGTAAAAAGGCCCTATTTCATTTTAATCATTTAAAATTTGTTGATTTCAAAGTGTAATATAATTATCATCTCTCTAAAGAACAACAACAAAAAACACAATTTTAGGTGATCCTTCTTTTCAATTAAGCTCTTCATAGAGTAAAGTATCATGATTGTGAAACTTATAAATATGTCTCGCAAAGTCTTAAGTCAAAAAGTAGATTCAGGACTTTCATTACATTTTGATTTTCAGTTTTTGGTATAATGAGGAAATGCGAAGATGTAGAATATCATTTGTGTAATAGAATGGTTTGGTAAAGGAGAAAAAATGAAACCATTGGAAAAAATGTGTATCCACTTTTGCATCTTTGGTTAAACAATCTGGTTGACATGTACAGAAATATGTAATAGGAAGCATCCTTGGCAAACCAAAAGGATTTTGTTGGCCTTAGTTAGGAAAAATTAGGCCATTGGCAAGTTTGATACTCCACTTTAAAACGCAATTAAGTTGTTAATACCTAATTGCCATAGAAGCATCAAAGAAGTGGTTATTGGTCAATAAAGTGAGTGCAAACGATGAAGATCAGTGTTTAAATTCCAACAGAGATAAACCAATTATTAGATGATTTATTTGCATTGGCCTAAATTTTGACAGATATAGTTATCTGATATATGCGCTGATGATAAGTGATATGTATTCGGTGAAATAGTTAAGATGTATATAGAATGAGTGTGACACCTCCATTTTAACAAGGTACCTAATTGCTAGATGAAAAAAGTGAGCTTGCACCTCACCAGCAGTCTCCGCAGTCAGAGCTTGCGGTTTACATTTCTTGTATGGTTTGTGAGGTGTTACACAACGAGCAGGTTACCTTTTATGTACCCGAAGGATAGCGACTGCGGATTTTCCTGAGATTTTATTTTATTTTTTTTTTTGTTAAAATGAGTTTGCAAATAAAAGGTTAGGTGAAAAATGATAGAAATACACCACAATGTTTGTCCAAAAAAATGAAGACATTGTCCATGTCATTCTTTAGGAGGGCAAAGTGTTGAACAAACGACTTACGCAGTCGTATACGACTGCTTTGAGTGCGATCAAAAAATTGGCATTACTATTTTTGGCTATGTAAGGATTTTCACAATTCTAGATTATGATTCATAAACGATCTATATAAAATTCTATCAATTATTCAGAACCGTGGAACTATATGATTTTCACATAAAATACATATACAATAACTTCAATCAAGAAAACTTACCTGAATCCATGATGTGTTTTCTTGATAATATTGAGCGGAAGTCTTTTTCAGAGTTGCTATTTAAGATAAGCAAATTCTCTATTCCTTATGTGGTTTGTGTATATGTATGGTGCCAAGAAAATGCAGATTTTGGCACCATTCAAGTCTGCAATTCTCATTCCTTTGCATATTTGTATCTATATGATCGTGTATTAATCTTTGAACTGTATGTAATAAATGAGGTGTGACGACCCAAAGGGTCATCACCTATTTTCTCATTCATCCCGTGCTTCCGAGGCCTTGAAAACCTTATTTTTACTTGCCTCGATTTGCGTGCGCAGTCCGGGCGTGTAGCCGGAAAGCTTAAATATGAATTCTGTGAAAAAATTTATGAATTTTGATATTATTATGATTAAAGTTGACTTTGGTCAACATTTTTGATAAACGGACCCGGATCTATGATTTGATGGTCCCGGAGGGTCCGTAGGAAAATATGGGACTCGGGCATGTGCCCGGAGTCGAAATCCGAGGTCTAGAGCCCGAGAAAAGAATTTTTCTGTGAAATTATTTTTCTGAAAATATTAAGGAAAATGGAAAGGAAAAATTGATTAAAAGACTATGGTATCGGGCTCGTATTTTGGTTCCCACGCCCGGAACAAGTCTTAAATATGTGTTAAGCGCTTTCTGTAAAGTTTGGTCGAAATCGGACGTCATTTGACGTGTTTCGGACCTAAATATCTAAAGTTTGAAGTTTATGAAGATTAGAATGAAAAATGATGATTTTGAGGTTTGATTCATTGATTTTGATGTTGTTTTGGCGATTTGATCGCTCGAGTAAGTTCGTAGGATGTTGTTGAGTTAGTGTGTGTGATTGGTTAGGAGCCCCGAGGGCTCGAGAGTATTTTCGGAGGTGTTCGGGGTATTTTTGAACTTAGAAAAAGTAGCAGATTTTCTGCAATTTTTACACAGTGCTTTCCTTCTTCGCGATCGCGTCCTTCAGCTCGCGTTCGCATAGCCTTAGCCTCCATACGCGATCGCGTAAGCCAACTTAGGACCCCCAGTAATTCCTTCATCGCGTTCGCGAACTAGTCCTCGCGTTCGTGTAGTAACAGCCTCTTCTTCATCGCGTTCGCGTACCCCATCTCGCGTTCGCATAGTACAAGTCCTGGACCCAGCCTTTCCCTTTCTACGCGTTCGCGATAAGTCTTCCGCGAACGCGATGTTCCCAGTCCTCTTTCTTCGCGAACGCGACACCCCTGTCGCGAACGCGAAGGTCAAAAACGCCCAGTGATTTTGATAAAATTACAGAAACAGTAGCTTCGGGATTTAGTCCATATTTCACACGAACTCATCTTCTCCACAGCCCATAGGCGATCTTTAGAGCTTTTCTTCACCAAAGCTTCTTGGGTAAGTATTATCTAACTCGTTTTCTTCATTTTCTATCATCATTTATCAAATTCCTAGACCTAAAACATGTAATTTAGGGTGTAAACTAAGGGTTTTGGGTAGAGTTAGGTTTTTGAGAATTTTGGGTGATTCAGCCTCAATTTGGGGTCGAATCTTAAAACAAATTATATATTTGAACTCGTGGGGTTATGGGTGACTAGGTTTTGGTCCGAGCCTCGTGTTTGGACCATGTGGGCCCGGTGTCGAATTTTGGTATTTTTGGAAGAATGCTAGGAAATTCATATCTAGGCTATGGGATGTTGCCATTGAGTCTTTATTGATACCATTGAATTAATTATGCCTAGATATCATTGTTTCAGAGTCGGATTGTAGAGGAAAGGCGGTATTTGAGGATTGATTGCTATTCTTTGGAGCATTTGAGGTAAGTGTTTGATCTAACTTTGGCTTGAGGGAATAGGATTAGAGTGTTATTATTTGCTAATTGCTAAATGAATCGAGTACGGTGTATAGGCATGGTGACGAGTATCTATACACCGGTGTCTAGCATGACCGTGGGTCCTTGTATGTACTTATCCTGATATTGTTATGACTCTTCCATGTTAATTGATGAATTCTATGCAATGTGAAGCGTATGAGGACTAATTATGAATTGTAAATTCTTTGGAGCGTTGGCTCGAATGATAAGAAGACTATTGAGTAAGAAATGAAAGAAATAGAAAGTGATATGAATAATCCCTAGCCGGGATGGTTTGAGTACATTGATTATCTCCCTTGCCGGGATGTGAGAGTATTGTTGTTGCTCCCTTGCCGGGATTTAGCTGATAATTGTGTAATTCCCTTGCCGGGACACTTCTTATTATTTGTTTATCCCCTCGCCCCGTTTGGTTGTGATTACTGTTTGGGTGAGGAAGAGTGATAATGCACGAAGGGTCATTCCGTGCCATGTTTTGATTATATTTGCACGAAGGGTCATTCCGTGCCATGTTTTGATTATATTTGCACGAAGGGTCATTCCGTACCATGTTTTAATTATATTTGCACGAAGGATCATTCCGTGCCATGATATGAGAGTTACGTGAGGGAAAGCACGAAGGTTGATGTCGTGCAACTGTTGATTTTCCTGCTCTCATTAATTAT